ATAAAATTAAAAAAAAAAAAGTGTTCCCATCATGAAATGTAAACATAAATAAAAACAACTAGTATTGGTAGACTGCTTTACTGCCGCCTCAGCCCTGCCCCTCGTCTGAACTGATGACAGTGGGGCAGGTAGTGTCCCCATTTTACAGATGAAGAAACAGAACTTGAGAGGCATCATGATGGCAGAGGTCCCACAGCTAGTGGGTGTCTGAGCCAAGGCTAACTGTCCTGCCTTCTCCCCTGCTGTCTCCACAGTAATGCTGAACCTAAGACAATTACCCATTTTCCTCCTCCTCCTGTGAGGATCCTGTCTGTTGTATACACAAGCCCTAGAGCTTCCCAGAGAAGGGTGCTGGAAAACCAACATTCACAGCACTGGCCACGGGGCACCAAGAGCCACGTGTCCTGTCACATAACCTAAGAAGACTGGGTTACATATTACAGGTTAAGATACAGGCAACAGGGAGGTCGTGTCAATGGGATGGACAAGAAGTGGTGATGGTTGAACCAGGATCCCTGGAGATGGACAGGGAAGCAAGCAGGGAGAAGTTCAACCTTTGGGCAGGAGACAAGTAGTACAGCAGCACATCAGTGCAATGGACCTGGGTCCCCAGCCAGGCCTGGCTACTCACCAAGGTGGTTATGGCTCTTAGCCTCTGTTTTCCCATCTGTAAAGTGGGTATATGCAATGATACTTGATGTCCCTGGGCACTAGTATGTGCCCAAGAAGTAGTGGTTGGAACCCAGCATCTGGCTGTGAAGAAGGCCTCTTTCCAGGCCGTGGAGCGTAGCCACCGGTCAAAGAGTGATCCTAGCCCCATCTGTATATTTTCATAAGTTTAACTTCAGTGACTCTTGAATAACTCTATATATGACAAAGACACTGACAGGACAGTGCCAAAGCGAGGGGCCCCAGGAACTAAAAAAAAAGGCATGTTACTGCAGGCTGTGCCATGGTTTATAGTTTCTACATTATGAAAAACCAAAGACCACCAGGGCCTGCCCCAGAGCATGAGGCATCCCCCTTAGGGGCTGTGCTGCTGAACAGGCATTCCCTGGGAAAGTCAGCCCCTCACCAACCACAGGAAAATTGCATTATATTCAGCCTGTCTACTGAGAATAAACCTAAGTGAGACTCTTCTGATGCACTGAAGTAAAGGAAGCTGCCTTTTGCGGTCTATTCCTGTCTGCCCTCCATCTTGAAGACATGTGACAGGAAGAGCAGGAGACTCCTCTTCAGAAGACCTGGTCCATTCCAGCCTGTTTCTTTCACTTAAGGAGTCATGGGACCTTCCCTTCAAATGACTGGCCTCAGGGGTCTGCACTTGACTTTGGGGCCTACAAGAGAGTACTTAGCAGACACTTTGCCTCATCTGTGAATTTGTCTTTCAGCTCTGTGCAGTGTGTCTAGAAGACTTCAAGCCTCGAGATGAGTTGGGCATTTGTCCATGTAAGCATGCCTTCCACAGAAAGTGAGTATTGGTGTGGAATTATTTAAAGGGACCTGAGTTTGAGGCATATCAAGCAACTCGTGGGCTTGGGGCAGTGCCAGACAAGCTTGACAGCTTTATGATTGGTCTATAATGCAGAAAGCAGAACGTACCCTAAGGGTGAGGGGGGTGTGTGTGTGTACACACGTGACATTTAGGAGGGATCAGGGTGGTGGAATATGACCACCAGGCAGGACTTCAGGCAGACGGCCAGATAAGCCCACACCTCCTTAGAGCCCAGGCTATAAACAGCTACCTAACTGAAACTTTCCAATGAGAGCTTCTATTTTTTTTTTTAATTTATTTGACAGAGGGAGACACAGCGAGAGAGGGAACACAGCAGGGGGAGTGGGAGAGGGAGAAGCAGGCTTCCCGCGGAGCAGGGAGCCCAGTGTGGGGCTCGATCCCAGGACCCTGGGATCATGACCTGAGCCGAAGGCAGACGCTTAACGACTGAGCCACCCAGGCGCCCCTCAATGAGAGCTTCTATTCCTAAAAACTTATTTAATCAAAACCATCATTATTTTAAATCAAAATAAAGTATGAATGTAAATGGTAGAGTGAGGCCATCTGCCATGCAGACATATTAGTATTCCCTCTTCTCTGACAATTTTGTTTTTATTTCTATTAAAAACTTTTGTTTCTTCTTCTTCCCACCACCATCCTCAGTGTACTTCATTAACACGTCATGGATAATTTGAGGATATGGCATGCTGACTGTGGTTTCTTAGTATCCCCTTTTGGAAGACCTGCTGGTGGAGCTGTTTGGGACCAGAGTGTTCACACAGGCCCCTGGCTGTGAGGGACAGCAGTGTTCAATGAGGCCTGTGGGCAGGAGGCGCCACAAGCATGGGACTGACTTCCTCCTGTGTTGTCTTGCTTTGCAGGTGCCTTATTAAGTGGCTGGAGGTTCGGAAGGTGTGTCCGCTGTGCAACATGCCAGTTCTGCAGCTCGCGCAGCTGCACAGTAAGCAGGACCGTGGACCCCCACAGGGGCCCCTGCCCGGGGCAGAGAACATTGTATAGCTCCCCCAAGGATCAAACTGCTGCGGGATCCGACGTCCATGTGGAGCCAGGAGGAACACAAGCGGTCTCTGTGCTGGCTGCTCTACCGGGGGCACCAGCTGCCACTTCCTTTGCCTCATGAAGAACTCGGGCCAGCTAAGCTGGAAACCCAGACTTCTGGGTCTTGTGACAACCAAAGCACGCTGCCACTACCCCGTGCCAAGAGAAGAGGAGTGGATGACAGATGAGCCTTCCGGTTATGTTCAAGAAGTTTCATGAGGGTCTCTTGCTGATGCCATTACTCTGTCTCCCAGATACTTATCTCCGTATCAAGGTGAATCTTGATCAAGCAGAAGGAAAGATAAACAGAACTGTTAGAGAAGGGAACTGAGGGCAGGTCTTTAAAGCCACCCCCGCCCCCCACCCTGTGGACAGATGAGCTTCTACGCAGACCGTGCATGCCTTTGCAGCAGCAGACCCTCCCGGCAGCCCGAGCCAAGTAAAGCCAGCCGTTACCTCAGCTGAAGCACGACTGCTTGCCAGTGATTGGTGAGGCAGTGCCAGCAAAAGGCTTTTCACGTTATGTTCCTTTGGTAAGGTCATCTTGGAACCCAAGGGCTTTGGTTACCACAGAGCAGCAGTGCCCCTTGCCACCCCTTCTCCCTCAAGTTCACGACACTTGCTTATCATATCATCTAAAAACATTAGATGCGCCTGGAAAGGCCTGGTCAGAAGCCATTTCCTCTTATTTACCCCCTGACTCCCCGGTGAGGCCCGGCCAAGCTGCCCATCAGGAGCCTGAGCCAGGGGTGGGCCTCTGAGCCCATGCTGTTCCTGTGTGACCCAGGGGGCCTCAGGGTGCTGCCCGCACCCCCACGTGCACTGTGCTTCCAGCACAGCTGCTAGTCTCAGCCCACTGCCTTGGTAAGGAGCTGCTGTGAGCCCCTCAGATGGCTCCCAAGGGGGGCTCCTTCCTGGGAACGGCCAGTCCTCCAGGCCCCGCTGAGATGAGAGGATGCTGACCCCTTCCTCTCCCCCCTCCTTCCCTGTTCTCTTCCCTCTGACCCTGTTTCTACTTAAGAGAAAATGCCTGTTGTTGACGTTTTAACAATTTAAAGCATCTCAAATAAGATCCTTATGTAATTATGTAATTCTGAAGCCGGGGATCCACTTGAAATTGTAAGTAGTGTCAGGAAGCCACTGCAGGGCTCTTCACCCGCTGGTGTGTGCCTCACTCTTCAGACTTAAGTGACTGAAAATGTCTTTATAGGAGAGAAATGCATGCTGCTCTTTAGCTCTTCTGTCCAACTTTTCTAGAAATGACTCCATCCATTTGGGTTCATGAATACTGTACAAATTAGCTATCTGAAGTGGCTTTGGGTCAGATAGAAAGTTCTTTTCCACAGCCCTCCTTCTGTCATAGGGTGGACTCCTTGTCAACAGCTCTGCCTCATTCCACAGGTGTGAGGGGGACAGTTTCTCATTGGGAATGTGGTCCGCATGGAGAGCGGATGGAGGAAGCTTTGCCACTCTGTTCACAGCATGTCTCCAGGGATTTTTTTCTGGAATCTAGCCTCTACCATCTTAGAATGGGAGAGGGAACCTGTCCTTGGCTCAGGTGGCTGAGGCCAGAGGAGGAGGAAAATTCCCCCTAGCCTAGGAAGGTGCTGGGCAGAATCCAGCTTGGAAAATTACACATCCAGTTGGTCAGAATTGGCTGTTTCCTCCGTGTGACCTATTCATGGCACGCCAACTGGCTGCTGCTTAAACAGGGCAAGGAAGTGTGGGATATTTTTATATGAAAGCCTTAGCCTGTTGGGCATCCTTGAAAAGAACTTTTCGTGCATTCCTCCTCTCGTCGTTTTTGCGTTCTGTGTTGGTAGCACAGTGGAGCGGAATGCTGCAAAGCACCCCGTTTACAGTGAAAGGTTTCCAGTGACCAGTGTCAGAAGTAAGCCTGGACTAGCCTCATTAGTGGCCAACACCCACCATTTCCCATGGAGTGGCCTTGGGACAAATCTCACCTTGTCATTGCGGGGTTCAAACAGGAAAGAGAATTTTTCCCCTCAGAGGAGGAATTCTCGTGCTCTAAACCGCAAATGATTTCAGCTCACAGCTTCTAGCAGGATTCTAACTGATCAGTTGCGGCGTTTTTCTGTCCCTGTGCGTCAGTATGAGGAGACCAACCCCACAAGTCCCTGTATGGGCAGGGAGGTAGAGGAGTTCGTTTCCTGTATTACAGGAAGCGCAGGTTGACAGGGTTGGTGCGTAGCTCCAGCCGTTAGAGGAAAGCTCAAGAATGCTGTGCGCTCTCCACCGGGCTCCAACCCGCACGAGGTACCGCCGACGTGACCTCGACACCCATGAGTGCAGAGGGCTTGGTAAACACAGCTCTTCTGCCAGGGTGGGGCTGGGCAGGGGGCGGGAAACGTGTTCCCTCTGCTCGAGCTCCTCTCATTTCTTGGCTCCTGTCTCACTGCAGCTTGGCCAGGGCCACGCACAGTAGTTCCTGCGACTCTCAGCGACACACCCTGAATGGACTTGCTCCCTGCGTCCAGGTCCTCCTCCAGCACTCTCTGCTGCGCTGCCGTGCCTGCCCGCGGCCTGCGCTTCACTCACATCTTCCTTTAATTCTGGTTAAAACAGCTTTCTGTGGACAAGGTTACATCTCCATCTGGAGCCTTTTTTAAAGAATGAGTTAAGGATCCCCTAATAATCTTGGCACAGGCTTATACCTTAGAGTGAGGCCACTTTGGCCACATCTGTCTTTTGTTGGTGAGTTGTTGGTGACCTTTTGTTAATCTGTAGACACACAGGGTCTTTGGTCTGTCTGCTTTTGGGCCACTGGCTGGTGACATGGCAGTTTTTTACTTTCTCTTAATGTGTCTTAAGCAGCTCAAAGACTGGATGTTATTTGTATGCTGTGGGTTCAAAGAACGTAACTCAGCCCCAACTGAACTCCATGGGTGGCTGCATCATTATCTAGTTACTGCTAGGGTTACAGCTGACTACAGCTGGCTTTAGAAGCAGGAAACAGGGAACAAAACCAGCCTGACTTGATTCCTGAATGAGTAGGTATAACATACTGTCCTCTGCTGCTTTCCTTTGCCAAAGTGTGATTTGGTTGGGCCTGTCCCTAGCAGGTAAGGTCCTTCTAGTCTGTGCCCACCGAGGCAGGGAGAGGACAAGACCAAAATGGCCAGATGGGAGCAGATGGCCCATGGGAAGTCTGGGGGGGGAAGAATACAGGGAACATCCCATCATTGCCAGATAGCTTGTTCTTGACGTCTTGACAAATGCAGATCCTTTTCCCCAGTGCCAAGTCCCTTGGGCCCATCAGAAGAATGATTTGCCCCTTTCCACAGCCCCACTTCAAAGCCTGTCACCTCCATGGCCTGGTCCTGCTCTGCTAAGCTATTCTGAACAACTGTAGTAATTTTCTGAAAGGCTGAGAATTACAAAATGAACACAGGGAGGCATCCCTAGAGCTCTGGACAGAAAAAGTGCTCAGAGTGATTTGAAATCACCCCTTGCCATTCACCAGCCATGTGTCTTTATGCAACTTAGCCTCTCAAAGCTTGTTCCCTTATCTACCACCTAAGAACCGTAGTGACATCTTTGCTGGTTCTTGTGCGGACCAGCCACGTCCAAAGCCTGGTGGGCAGGAGACCTGGGGTCATGGAAGCTCCTGATTATAGGCAGCATCATTATGCAGGTAACGTGGGGCTCCTGTGTAGTTCAGGTAAAACAAAACCTCAGCAGGAGCCTCCTGAGGGACAGGGGCTCCCCCTGGGGTCTGGGTTTGCCTGGGTCCCTTCCTTTGCCTCATGATCTTCCCTAGTCACTTCCATGTATCTTTGCCCATTGTGCTCCCTGAGTGCTATTCCTTAAGTTTTTGAGTAGGTAATCCCTTCGTGTAGTTCAAGTCTTCCTTGCATCCCTGACCTGGCAAGGCCAACTTTATCAGCCCTTGAACTCCCACTCTTAGTTTGTTCCAGGTAGATCCTTCCAGAGACCATTTATGCATATACAGATAAATACGCACGTGTATGTATACACGTGTGCTTGTGTGTCTACATAATTTTTTTTTTTAAACTTATACCAGACAAGTATATCCAAGGAGCATTCCTATTCATGGGGGAAGAGCCATCCCAGAAGGCAGAGTATCTGTAAAAGGTGAGCCCATAATTGGGGGATGTCTTTGCAGTCACATTCCTTTTTGAATAAGGCATTATTTTTTTTATTGATTGCAGCATACTGGAATTCTAGTTTCCCATACAAAGCAGAAACAGCAATCCCTCCGTGGCCCTTACCACACAGATGCTCAGATAATATGCAAGCACAACCAGTTTCCAGACTGTCTTTCTGGCCTGTGATGGACACTGAAGAGCAGGTTCTGCTCTGTTGCTGACAGCAGCAATGCAGGCCTCTGGTCCAGGTCCAGCAGCCTTTGCAGGGCCTGGACAAGCTGCCCCCGCCCCCACCAAACCCCATCTGACGGGGTGATGTCTGGCTACAACTGCCATGATTTCTTAGGCGAGCTCCTGTGTTTTTTGTTTTTTGTTTTTTTTTAAGAATTTATTTATTAATTTGAGAGAGAGAGAGAGGGAGAAGCAGACTCCCCGCTGAGTTGGGAGCCAGACGTGGGGCTCGATCCCAGGACCTGGAGATCATGACCTGAGCTGAAGACAGATGCTTACCATCTGAGCCACCCAGGTGCCCCGAGCTCCTGTGTCTTTTGAGGCAGGGATTTGAGAAGCAGCAGCAACTGAAGCCTGAGGCAGCCTTGGCGGGTGGGGGGCGATGTCTCAGATGATGCTAAGCAGGTAGATGGGCAGTCTCCTCCAAATTAACCATAGATACACACACTTCAGTGTCTGCGCTCTGCTCCCTTTCCCACCCCACTTTATGCACACATTAAAAAGAAAATGCTTCCCACAGAATCTTCTCCATTTGACAATAGAAATTACTCCACCAGTCATCTTTTCTTTAAAGAAAAAAAAAAAGTCTTAAGTCCATTTTTGCCCCTGCAGGAGATATAGTTGCTTCCTCCAGGCAGCTCTGCGGGGAGGGGCGTGGACTCCTGCCTCGGTCCTCGTCAACTTCCCTGGCGTCCTGCCTTCCCTTGGATTAAAAGTGCAGCTTGGGCCCCTAACCTGAAACTTGAAAGGAATTGTATGTGAAAAGCCACTTTCTGTTACTTGAGTATCTCGTTCTGGGTTAGAATGTCTTCCGCATTGGCCATTACGAATTTTAAGTAAAAGAGATGAACGTGTCTCAATTCACAACTGTCTAAATTCTGGTGAAATCTGCAGTTCAAAACTGGAAATGGTTCTTTAGTAGATAAGATGAACAAAAGATCCCATATGCCATGGAATGTGCTTCCGTTTGAGAACAACAGGAGAAAAATGGGGCTCATACAGTTTGTTCCCCTTTAGAGCCCAACTTGTTGCAAGATGCAAATAGTTTTGTTCCACTTCTAGACCAAGCATCGCACCCTTGGCTTACCAATCTAGTGCTCACTTCTGTGGCTCTCGGGTCAGGGAGAACACCCACCCTGCTTCAGGGACATGGACCTCGAATGTGGTCCCCACCAGTGTCAAGGGACCTGTCTGTAGTTTGATGAAGCTCCTCTCCGCTCCCTGTGCCAGTACAAGCCCGGGGGACCTGCGTCTAGGGCCAGCTGCACTGTCCTTCCATGTGCCCCTTCCCTCGCAGGCCCTGCCAGAGCAGGCAGGGCCAAGATTAGGGAAGTCTCTCCTGGCGAGGGCCTGGTCTTCCAAGAGTGTTCCTGATACTGTCGTCTCTGCGTTTCTTATTGCCAGGAATGGGGTAGTTTAAATCCTGTAGTTTATTTAGCCCCCTGGGTTTTATTCACTAGATCTTGTATAACTCCCTCAAAAAAAAGGTTTATGAAATGCTGAGCCTCAGGTTTCATAGACGTGTTTGTACACTAAGAATTCTGCAGCAGAATATTTTTAAACATTCGCAGTTTTTTGTAAGCTATATTTTTGTATATTTAATTGCTATTTTAAAATTTTAATGCATTTTGGGCTAATTACTCCTGTTTTAAAAACAAAACATGCATGTAATTGAAGTAAACAAATGTAAATAAAAAACAGGTTTTGAAAATACTGTATGTTGAGTATGCACCCTGTCCTTCAGAGGGGCCTGAGGTCACCTACACCCCACTTCAGCCTGTGTAGCAAGAGTTGGAAAGCCAAGGTGAGTGGCTCTGATCAAAGTGAGCTGGTCACCAGCAACATGGGACTGTGATGAAGGCGAGCTTTCAGCCTGCACCCTCCCGTGGGGTGGGGTGCGGGGTCAAGGGTGAAGACTGGAGCACCAGGGCACAGTGAGGCTGGACACACCAGCGG